AACTAACTAACTCGAAACTAACTCTTGGAGAAAAAATGGATGCTGACACACGTTGAATAATCAACGATGGCTGAAGTAGCATCAAGTGTTTTGTTGATTAGTTGGTCGAAGCTTATGTTTCTGTACTTCCCTTACAACAATGCTTTCTAATATGACATTTATTTCTTAGAACTTCAAATACGCTGGACGGCATCCAAATATCAATAGAAAGAGCACGTGTGTTGCTCACCGGCTGTTAAACCCTTTATCTCTTCGTTACTTTAGAATTTATTCATAAAAAAAATGTACGATATTTTTCAATATGCCGTATTCGCGCAAAATAATCCATGTCAATAAATAGGTAAATAAAAAGTTACTCATTATCATGAATTTGTCAAGAATTTGGGAGCGGCCACAACTCTACGGACTCAGAAGCCAGCATTTAAGTATCTCAAGCTGACAGCCACGAGTAGAGGAGGTCAGTTCAAGAGCTTCAATCCTTCCATGTACAATAAAACTGCAGAATAAGAGCGGCAATAAATCTTTGTAAATTTAGGATAAACTTATTTTTTGTGTTAATTGTTCTCTTCCTCTGATGTGTTTTTTTTATCAAAACTTTACTGATGACAAATAATTTTCAGATAAACAATAGACATTCTAATTTGCGTATCAATTGAAAATATTTCCTGTTGATGTCTTCAAGTTTAAGATTCACAGAATAAAATAGTAAAAGTTTTGCATTAATTTATCCATCCACTCATAAATTTTTAAGTAGTATACTTCCGATCATAAAAAAGAGATGTTGTTTTTTCCAGCATTTTTATTAACAAAATACACTCAAGAAGCTGAAATGATAACGTTTGTAGTGTTACACTTCGGGAGTCACATGAAGTGAAAGCTTAACTTGTTGATCTATTGATCTGTTGCGAGAAAAAATCTTTGGTGCGGAATGCTTGAGATAATTTTTGAAAATTTATAGTTAATTGGCATCAATATATATATGAAAAAATGAACTGCACAACCCTAAAACTGTAATATTCAATTAATTTTAAAACATTAAGTTAGTGCACTGATATGGTAAAGATTATTTCTCGAACTTTGCAATGGTGGAGAACTAATATAAAAACTTCTTAAATTTATCGATATCCGATGATCACAAAGTTAAAAAAAAAAAATAAATAAATAAAATTCATCATGAAGTCATCATCGATGACTCAGTTCAGAAAAAATATCTGGAATACTTCTGTTCCCAAGCCCAGAAGCAATAACGCGATACGCTACATTGTCCTCTGATTTATGAAAGTTAAGGAGAATAACATGTTTCTCTGCGTAATCAGCCTCAGATTTTTGAAAGTTTGGATTCCACGTCGATATAAAATTGTAAATAAGCAGGGCATCTATCCCAATTGGTCGAAGCAAGCAAAAATCTATTGCTTTTGCACCAAAGCTAGTGGAGTAATTCTTTGCAATGCAACGATCCTATTGATATGAGTCCAAATTTGTTTTCAATATTTTTTGAAATTTTTTATTGTTCTTCGACACAGCAAAACGTCTTTTCCTGTTGACATTAAATAAAATATCCAAGTTTTAATATTGAGAGCCAAAATGCTAGACTTGGAATAGTAGAACACAGCTTCCATTTCACTATTACATAAGTTTAATACACAGCTTTTATTTTACATTCAAATTAAACCTGCGAAAAACGAAAAACAGGAACGAAAATGGAATGTCCCCAGCAAGAACGAAAAAAAGGCTGGATACATTATACGACTATTGGGTGTTTTCAAAATACGTAAATGAGATAGCCAAATAATTATTCAGGTTCTTGGGATTTATATAGCGTTTCTTTTCCATTAAGAGGGCAACGATAGTTCAAATTTGAACTACACACAAAGTATCACACATATACACTGAACACTGTACACGCACACATATAAACACAGAATTTATCCTAAAGCTCTTAGTTACACAAGGTAAAGAATTAACACGTGTGGCCGCATAAGAAGCTTGCAAAACACAGAGACGATCCATATATTTAAGTATAATACAAGAGTGTCTAGAGTACACATTTATCAGAAGTTGGCAGAGACACACTTATTATATAATGTTATGAAAAAAATGAGATAAGCTGAAGTTCTGGTAGCATTTTTGCTGTTTGCACTGCAAGAAAGATTGCCTTGGAAACAACCGAGTTCTTTAGCAAAAGTAAAAAGTAAAAGCCTGAATGTTATGGATTAAAATTTGGACGATATCATCGGTTTTTGATACAAGAATTATTAACTGATTATATTCTATGCATGAAAATCAAGTGAGGATAGCATGACAATCAAGTGAAGGTAGCATGGCAATCAAGTGAAGGTAGCATGACAATCAAGTGAAGGAGGCAGCATGACAATCAAGTGAGGGTAGCATGACAATCAAGTGAGGGCAGCATGGCAATCAAGTGAAGGCAGCATGACAATCAAGTGAGGGTAGCATGACAATCAAGTGAGGGCAGCATGACAATCAAGTGAAGGTAGCATGACAATCAATTTAGTGTACTTGCCTCAGGAGCAGAATGTCAGCATTTGAAGTGCATTCGCTTCTCATGTTTTTTCACGCATCATAGTTAACATTAATCATAAAATCTAAATACATAACAAGAGAAAGCTCGATTCAACACTTAGCGATAGAAAAGATCTTAGGCTTAAAGCTAAGCGAAAAATATCAACAACATGCATCGGTACTTGAGGTACATGCAACATGAGGTACTTGTTGCAGAACGAGAGAACGAATCGCATTTTAACTAAATGGTTCGGAGGCAGAAGAGTAAGTGATGCTTTTATAAATAGATGAAGGCCCAAGTTGCAGCAAAAATTTCCCAAAACTAATCTTAAAAAAAAAAACGCAAATAAGATTTGATACAATTTTGTGCTTCATTTGATATGAATCAATTTGCTTTAAAAATAAATAGCATTTTTTATGGTTGCTCATGTGAATGACTGAATAGAAGACAAACATAGACGCATTTAACAAAGATATCAAATTAATTTCTTGAATAAACAGAAATTTTTTTAACACATTTTCTTATAACAGACCAGAAAAGAACAAGCTGGGCCTTAGACCCTCTTCCTAGACGAATGTCATCAAAAAACCTGAAACGTTATTTTCTGAGCAAAAAACTTGGGAACGCATGAGATTCCGATGCGACACGACAAATTTTACGCATTTTAAAAAGTAATTTAAAAATTGGGAGAGCAACGTTGTCAGCTCATAATTTCCAGATAGCCGGAAACATCGTTGAAAAGCTCGCGTATGGCAATAAAAAGCGTTTATAAAAGCTACAGTCAAGCATTAGAATGAAGTAGGCACATTTACATGCTGAAATATACTCTGAAACACACGTGCATTATCGCAATACGAATAGCTTCTATAAACACATAACACTTAGCATATTAAGTATGTAGCACACATAGCAAGTAACATGAATTAATGATTTAAATGAGGTACTTAAAGATGAGATAAGATGAGAAAAGCCCACCATTCACCGTAACTTCATTCACCCTAAGCACGTGAGGCTCACTGAACTTCTTTGGACAAATGTCTTTACTTTATCCTATAATGAAGACCGCTCTCTCAATTAGAATGTACAGCATGAAATAACAGATAACTTATAAAAGAGGGTAGGTAATATTGTAGAATTCTTCATAGATTTCAACAGCTTTATGGATATAGGTGCATGTTGCATCATAATGTTTTGCATGTTGCAAATTCAATTTTGTTTTATTTAAAGAGTTGATATATCTGTTTTACGACGTTTCTCTGAAGGAAACACCGTAGTTCAGTCATTGACAATTTTCATTCCATTGGAAGATCAAGATTCCTGGTCTATTTGCTGAAAAGCATTCAAGAGATGAATGATTGACGATGCACTAAGGACATGTACTGTAAAATGACAGTCATAATGAGCTAATATCATGCAACATGCTTATTGTCATGCTTTACCGTAACTACTTCGTATAATTTACGGCGAATAAACTTCGAGAATGGTGCATTTCTCTCGTTACCTCACATATAGTGTTCAGCCTAACATATATATATCGTTACCTCACATAAAATGCTCAGCCAGTGCAACATGAAAAGCTGAGAAATATAGAAATTATTGTTTACATGAGCGTGACTTGCAAAAAAAAACATGCATGCCAACGATAACAGATGGGGATACTGTAATCGCGTTATACACCATGTAACAGCCAGAAATTGTCATCTTCTATATCATGTAGTTCTTAGACTACCGCACACTTAGAGAGTCAAAGATCTTAAAGTTAAAGACACGTTCAGTAGAGCACTGACTCCTGGGCCTATACTTTCAAAAAAAAATTAAGAGATCGTAAGTTTATCAGCCAATCATTGATGGCCTTTCAAGCAAAATCCTCCAATCATAGACAAGAAAATAGAGCGTAAGTACTTACTTTCACTTAGCGAGTTTTGAAAGTATGGACCCTGAACTACTTTCAGTTAGGCTTTCGGATTCATCTCTCAATTTCCAAAGAAGTTCTCTAAATTTCAGCGAAATGGAGAGATTACATGTATGTTGCATTGAGGAATCGTTGTTCTGAGTACTGAGTCACTAGAATAAGGTAATCAATCTATACGATTTGTGCTAGGAATGTAGACTAAAAAAACAATTGCGCTGTGGGTCGAGTTCAGGTCTATTGACAAAGTAATTATTTGTCAACCATTAAAACATTCAAATCTTGCATTTCATGTCCCAATTTAACAATATAATTGCAATTCATCAAGGCATAGGTTCATTTTTCAAATTTTTGTACACAAAAGATTTATCTGTGACTTCCGTTCTGTATAGCTTCGTTGTAAGAAAATAAGATCAGAATGTTAAACGGCTAGCCAATTAAAAAAATTGCACAGCTTATTACGAATTAAGATTTAAAACCAACGAACGGTTCGTATAAACTTGACCAATAACACTAACTCATGCATTGATTTAAAATTATTTTGAGAAAAAATTGAAAACTAAGCATGTATCGTAAAACATTTTAATGATGCTAAGGGTACTTTTTAACATTTAATTGATCTATATCTTGCTAATGTTATTTTGTACCTGATATGAAATTATTAAATTAAAAATAAACTCTCAAATTATGAACATATCTATAACAATGAAAAAAGTAGAATATTCAACAAACAACTGCATAAACCTTGATTGTGGATGTGTTAATTTCTTCAGTAGAATATTCTGTTGAAAGTTTCGTTGCTCGGCCGACACAAATTCTAGTTGAGGTCTTCGTTTCATGAAAGTGATTTTCGTAATCGCATAGACGTTGATGGTTACAGGTTAAATCAGATATTAGTATCTTCGTAATCAGGTTACGCCAGATTATGGTATCATTGTAACAAGGTTACATTAGATCTCAATATCATTGTAATCAGGCTACAACAGATGAAGATATTGTTCGACAGTAAGCGAGTACTGGAGATGTCGAACTGGCAGCTTTGGTTGGTTGCAAGAGGGCCATGAAATGATCGTATTCAGTGCAGTTCTTTGGGCACGAAGATGCCATGCAGGGGCACAGACACGGATGAGGTGGGCAAGAAGCACACCCTGCCCACCTCGGTCATGGTTTTGGCGTCGATGAAGACCAGGCACCCGAACTGCGGCTCGTCTGACCGCACACAAAACGTCACCACCAGACCATCGTCCTCGTTCTGCCACGTAAATGAGAGATTGTATAATCAGGAGAAATTATAAACGGAAGAGATAAAACATGGGCTTCGTCGGTGATATTAAAAATTAAACTGTTTTGCTGTGACTTTTTCAGCGCTACGAAGTGTTTATATGAGTCCCCACAGACACTCTTCCTCACCCCTCCTCCAGGCTTGGGGATGAAGACAGAGTCCCCGCAGTAGAGAAGCTCCTCCGAAAACAGCTTCACGTCGCCAGTCTCCACGTCCAGCTTCGTCACCTTAAAAATACATAAGGATTTATTGGAGTGATGAACACCTCGGAACATTCAATGAGAAATTACGCCATACAAAAATATTTGGTTTGAACACATGCACTTGTCCTCTGTCACGCCGTCAGAAGAAATGATTTTGCCATTACATATCTTCCGAAATGCTATGTTTCCATCATCGATCTTAATATAAAAGACTGTAATATATAACCCTAATATCCTCTTTATTCCGCCACAGACCTGCCCTCTGTCGCCGCCCTCAGAACTGACGCCCATGCCATAAATGTATCGGTGCTTACGACGACCAAAAACAGGGTTGATGATGGGGTTCTCCAGCGCAGCGGTCGCGCTCAGCGGCATCACCTTCACTGGGATCTGCTGGTTGAGATTTGCCCATTGAAGAACATATAATTCCTTCTAAGTATAAATATGTTCGGCACTGACATTAAAATGTCCCAAGGAATGCAGCTAAGAAACAATGAATGAAATTTTGATATGGTAGAGTGTCATGTAACCAAGATTGCGGTTGGAAAAATATTAATAAAACATAAAAATGTCAACAGAGTGACCAAATCAAACTGTATTTGAATTCACAAGAGGCGACATCAAATCACTTCACGCAAGATACATTAATAACATCATTGTAGAAACATCACAACACATCACTTCAGATGTTTAAGTAGATATAGCATGAAGGGCACATATTTAGACTTATCACTCAAAATAACGCAGGAAAACTTCACTCAAGATATGTCACCTCAAAACAAACACATCACCCATGACTCATCGCCACACCACATCACATCACTCGAGACTCATCACCTCACCACAATACATCACCTAAGAGACATTGCCATTCACAAAAACATCGCTACACCACAAAACATCACCCAAGACACATACGGAGCAACATTACAAACACATCACACCGAAACACATCGTCGCAACATATCACCACACCACATCAAACCCTACATCTCCACACCACACTGCCACATCACCTCGCCACATCACCACACCACACCACACCACCACACCACACCACATCACCACACCACACCACATCACCTCGCCACATCACTACACCACATCACCTCAGTCCGCGCGTCGGAGTCGGAGGCAGGCAGGACGACGCGGTTGAGGGAGCTGTAGAAGCTGCGCCTGAAGTCCTCGTGCTGCGCTCCTCTAAGCGGTTGCTGCGCCATACAGGAAACACATTTTTCATTAATAATTAAATACATCTTATGAAGCAGGGACTAGACCAACTATATATGAGTGCACATGTTATCACTCACACTTTCTTCATGCCACTTCATGCCGTCGAGGAAGGCGAGGTTATTGAAGACGTCACTGACGACCTCGGAGACCGACACGCCAAGAGGCATCTCGATGATGACGAGGTAGCGGTCGGTGACGCCCAGGGAGTGCATGTAGCACGGAGACAGGCGCCACCGCGGAGCCAGACGCGCTGCGATCTCCGTAGCGCCTCCTGCGACACCAGCCAAACACTCAGAGGTAGGGACGAATTATGAAATAGATTTTTATTTCGATTTCATGCTATTTCTGAATGTCTAGTTTTTAGATCTTAGTGACAAACTAGCTCCTTTGCATTATAAATGGAAGTTTTTAGATCTTAGTGACAAACTAGCTCCTTTGCATTATAAATGGAATGCAACCAATGTTAAAATTCAGCCTATCTTCCCTGATGCTTGTCAAGACGGGTGAAATTTCTCATTTGAAGGTCAAGAAAACATGTGAAAATAATGAGTTTAATTTGATTTGATCCTAATTTCCCTCAAGTAGCCTTACATATTATGATATTTTACACATCAGACCTGTTTTTGAACAAGTGTTTACAGTGGATGAAAATTCCGTCCACGTTAATGAGTTGTACAAGACGAAATACTTGACAAGAAGGTGAGTCACACTCACCGTCGGCAGGGAACTTGAGTACATTGTACTTAGGTCCTGTGAGGCTGACCGCGTGGCCGACGGTATAGCAGTTGCCCAGCTGGGGAGGTCGTCACCAGGCTACCCTCACGGTACAGCGTCCGCTGCCGAAATATTATTGAGAATTATGATTTAATTTGGCTACTGTGGTTGCAGATGGATTTCTCATTACGAACTAAAGAAATCATAGCTAAATTTATACCTAAACATTCAAGAGACGCATTCGAGATTATAAATTTTAATTTTTTATAACCTATTTTCTCTACCTATTAATGTATTTAATCAGTCAGAGAAAATAGATGAAAAAACTCTACCCTGAGATTGCAGTTATTGATGGTAAATTCAAACAATTGAACTTGTTTGGAAATAAAATATTCACTGACTTGATTCATTCAGAATCTTCTGTATGCATGTAATTTACTGACTTACGTTATTTTAATACATGATATGTATTAATGATGTTTAATTGAGCGAATTCAAAGTCTCAAATATTTTTTAGAAATTAAAGCTTTTAATTATTCATATCGTTTGTGTACAATAAAATAATTCATCATTAATTGAATAAGAAAAGAAAACTATTGTTTCTACAATTGTTTACACTATTTAACTAATAATTTAGAACGGCACCTTCACTTACTGCTTGGTATAGTGTATAACATTCTTATATCGTTATAATCTCTCAACAAAAGGATCGTCGTGAAATGCCCGAGTATACTCGTAATACACAATATTCGTCAGGCATTTTAAATAAAGCGCTGCCTGAGGTCTCTCCCTTTATTTGGTATTTCCATGTATTTTGTTATCATGTCGCTACAATACGACCATGTAAAATGAGCGATTATAATATACAACGTTCAGAGAACGCCGCCCGAGAGCTTAACTTTTTATTTAGTAATTCTATTATTTTTTGCGTTAACATTTCGCTACAATACGACTGCCTCAGAGTGCTAGATAACAATACACAATAACATTCATCGGGCATTTATGATGCATCGCTGGCCGAGGTCTCACCCTGTACTTGGTATTTGCATGTATTTTATCGTATCATGTCTGATGTCGCTACAACATGACCATGTAAAATGCTCGATTATAATATACAACGTTGATCGGCCATTTATGATGCAGCGCAGTCCCTGTACTTGGTATTTACATGTATAATGTGTTATACTTATAATGTCGTTACAATACGACCATGTAAAATGCCCGATTATAATGTACAACGTTGATCGGTCATTTATGCTGCAGCGCTGGCCGAGGTCTCACCCTCTCCTTGGTCTCGAGGGTGTCGAGGCAGATCTCCTGCATGAAGGGCGTCTCGCCGAGCGCGTAGTAGCGGCCGCCGATGCCAGCGATATGCAGCAGAAATAGAGGCTTCACTACAAACTTCTTGCGTAGAGGCTTCATTGTCGATAGTTCTATCAGATGTATAAACGTCTGAAAAACAAAATTAATCAACTGCAGATTGAGAGTTTTTAAAACAGATATTTTATTTCTGGTCGATCACCTTAAAATAAGACCACGACACACGCAAAGGAGAATATTTTTACTGGTAAACAGGAAAGGTGCCAGTCTAACAAATTAAATTATTTATGTTCTCACAGCAACCGAGGTCTCTTCGGAGCTCATGGTATACTCAATTATGTTTTTCTTTAATTCATTTCTTGCGCGTCACTTCAGATGGAATAATTTTCCTTCAAGAGAAAAATTCCACCTAACATACTAGTTTATGAAACTTCCTCTTAATATTTGGCTAAGCGATTCGAAAAACTGAAGTTAAAAAATTCTTCTCTCATGAATTATTAATGTCATATAATGGGCTCATGATGTCATTTTTTTTTCATTTTTCTCGATTCTGCCAAAGCATTCGTTTAAATATGTTCTTCACTCACATTGCATTCGTGTTCTGTGCTGCCTCAAGGAACGGACCTTGATCATATATTCTCGCTAAAACTTTCTCCACGTTAAATTCATAGAACAAGGCCCGTTCTATATTGTCATCACTTACACTTTTTTCATGACAAACTGACATAACGGGGCCGTTTATATGTTATCACTCACACTTTCTTCATGCCACTTCATGCCGTCGAGGAAGGCGAGGTTATTGAAGACGTCACTGACGACCTCGGAGACCGACACGCCA